TTGTTTATTTCTTTTACAATATTGCTTTACTGAAATGCTTTGCTTCTTATCATAATGCTTCTTTCAATACTTGTATTTCAAACTAATAAACTTCTCATTTTCCTCACTCTAATCTTGGGAAACCTTAAAACATTTACCCTCCAGAAACAAAAATACCACTTCTTTACCCATGAAATGGACATTTTATCTAACAGGCAATACAAGAAGAAACAAAATGAGTTTTCTTCAGTTGCCCATGCTGCCCCACCGTATGTCTGAGGACTCGGTGTAGCACGCTCTGGAAGCTTGCACAAAAACCAGGAGAAACATTTTGCTTCACCCTGTTTTTCTGCCTTTATCCTGCAGAGTGGCTCCAAGACCTCAAGGCTACTGATCAGAAAGAGAATCACAATTTCCAATAGCACAAAAAAACATCACCTATATCTGGTACACAGCACAGAGAAGGGAAACGTGCCAGTTCAGATACTGAACAGTCTGTCCACTGCAGCAAAAAGCTCAACACCAGTTCATCTGTACTGCTTTTCTGAATATAAATTAACTTGACATATCTCTGCTACCAGAGCTAGACAGCTTCCCAGAATGTCTGGAGAGTGGCTTGCTCTGTTTGCAACTCCGGTGAAATATAAACTGCAAACTTGTCTTAAAAAGTTCAAGGCAATGATAAATGCTTATAAAACTGAAAATATCACAGAGAAATTACTTGTGAAAGTAAACAGAACTTAGACTAAACTAGTCTAAACAAGAAGTTCTCCTGATGCCACCCAAGGACGCTGCTGAAATCCTGTCTGGTAAACAAGCCGGGAGCTCAACATAGCAAAGCTGGCAGGCTGGAAATCCCACAGAACTGATGAATGAAATGGGAAGGTGGCCTGTTCATCCACCCTCCAGCTTTCTGAGGGCTGTAATGTGAGGCTGGAAATGAAAGGTCAAGTTCACTGTCAGAGCTCATAAAAGGTTCTGTGCTCCTTGGTTTCACACCCTCAACGCCCAGGACCGCTTTGGACATTCCTGCGCCTCGGTCCATGCTGAGTGACAATAAGATGACATTAGCACTTCAGCTGGTTCCAGCTGAGGTCTCAGCACTGCTTAGGAGGTGGGAGCAAGGTCCTGCTGTTGCCTCTCCTCACACACATCCTCTTTCTCTTAGTTAATGTCATCTCTTTCCTAATTCCTATCCATTCAAAAATACATAATCTCAGCCGACCAACAGTTTCTGCAGCTGCACCAACACCAGCCTGAGACCAGAGAGGAGCTAAAAACAGTGCACTCTGAGGCCTTATGCTGGCACAAGTCTGTCAGGTCTCTGTCAGGTGGCTGATCAAACACACAATTCAGCCTCTGCTTCTCCAGACGAGACAAGACCACTCACATTACCTGCTATACCTGACCATGTGAGACTTTATTTTTTCCCCATAATAATTAAAAGACTGCTAAACATGCTTCCCTTATATCTTCTTCTCTGCCTCAAAAATTCTTTCTAGCTAAAAGCAAGTATGTTAGAACACAGTACTTCACTTTCCAAACACTGAGCCTTCCCCTTCTTCCCCTCCCCACTGCCTCACAAGGGACAGGTTTTTTAGCTGAAGAGATGTTACCTGTGATTTGCCTTTAGACCCTACACATCAACACCTTAGTCCTCAAACATCCAAATGATTCCACTTGCCCCACTACTATCACACCAAGCTGCTTCGGTCAAACACAGTTGGACAATTGTGGGGCTTTGAGACAAATTCACTTAAATTTTATGGTCTTGCAAGCAAGCAAGCAGCTTTACTTTACAGCATTTCTTAGGAAAACAGATGGCAGGGCAAGAGGAAGGAAAACCTTCAAAGTGCTTGCAACTGTGACAAACCAGTAAATTCTGAGGAATTCCATGGGCACAACAGATTTTGCACTCAAGCTGTGATAACAGTAAGCTGCTGTGGTGATTTAGCTGTACTTACAGGCAAGGTCTTAAGCTCACTACAGCAAAAGATGTGGTCAGAAGAGATTTATGTCCTCAGGCCATAGCAAAAGTCTGCCTGCATGTTTTACTGTCACTAACAGACCTGTCCAACAGCTTCTACAGCTTACAGTAGTCAGCACTCTATCATTCAACAGACAAATTCAGAATTAGGTCTGCCTTTACAAAGGAAGCAAGCTCCTCAAAGTCTCATCAAAACCATGATTACCCACAAAGTTGTCTTTGCTTCTTGCCCTGAGGGCAAGGAAAGAGTATACATGCAGCAGCATGCAGAAAAGACAATGACAAACCAAAATTACATCAACGAGCAATAGAAAAAATCAGTCCTGAATACCATAATACCTGGGCTTACTTGGAAAATTTGACACAATTTAGTCAAAGGTTTTTGAAAGGTTAACACACAGAAGGCTTAATAGCTGTAGACAATATCTGTTTATAATCCTTGTTCTTAATATGCTTATGTTTGCATATGCAAGTGACTGATTTTGTCTTTTTCCAGTCATGCTGACACAAGAAGTGATGTAAAACAAGGAAAATTATTAAGTAGGAACAGGAAGAGGTGTTCTGTTATAGCCAAACAAAAATACAACCCAATGCACCTTTCACCTTAGCATCTCTAACATCCTGGTATAAGCAAGAGTTCCTGTTCTAGCACTGGAAAAGTCTTTGTGTCCCTGCTCTCAACACAAACCACCACAGAGACAGACTGTAGCATCCTTCCTCCCTTTTCCCATGAGACTCCTGCCACAAACGGTGTTAAAAAATCCCCAGGTTCATCCAATCTCCAGCAAGCCAAATTCTTATTATTCAGCACTCTGGATACAGGAAAATATCTCAAAAGACTTTTTTTTTTTTTTTTTTTTTCACAGCAGAATAACAGACTAGCTTAAGTCACCTGGTGCTACAGCACGGCTGAGATCTGCTTGATACAGAACATGAACAGGTTTAGAGGGCTCCAGGGTTTCCTGGTGTTGTCAAAAGAACCATCTCACAGCCCAAGAAGCCAAGGGCAGTGCCAGCAGTACCTCACACATGGAGGAAGCAGCCCCATCTCAGTCCTCATGTACCACTGCACTTTGTCACAGGGGTGTCATCACTGGGACCAATGCAGCCAAACAATGATGCACAACAGAACGATGGCAGGTCCTGTGTTTGAAAGCAGTGCAAACCAGCCAGCACGAAAAAGAGCCCTTTGAACAATGCTTCAGACACTGCACCATGCAGAGACATGTACTCTCCTTTGCCGAGTACAAGAGAAGCAACACTGAGCTGCAGCACCAGTGCTGAACGAGCTTTTGCATCCCCACAGCTGCACCATGCTTGTCCATGCTGCAGAGACAAGGTGAGCACAAGGCAGGTGATGACAGAGTAACTAACCTGGTATTTCTAAGCAGAAACACATGACACAACAGTCCAAGAGTTACACAGGAGCTTAGTGGCTACAAAGAAAAATCATGCTGCTATAATAAAAAGAGTACAGAAAAGGGAAACTCCCTATGCGTGGTTCCCAGTCTAAAGTTGAAGCAAACCTTCACATCTTTTTTTACAGTAACAATACAGAAGAACTGTGGTTTTGGTTGTGGCTGCAGAATGTTGTTACTGCCCATAAAAATGGTGTTATTGCTCCAGGACGAGCCACAGAGGGATAAAATATGACTGGGCCAAGAGAACCTTGGTGGAAAGGACTGTTACCTTACCAGGAGGGCAAAGCAGGACAGACAAAGCTGGGAACAAAGACTAACCAGATGTAAGATCACTGCTTTACCAGACAGAATGCTAAATACTGCTATTTGGCTTACAGAAAGATAAAACAGCACAGTGCAAGATGGGGAAAATTAGGATTCACAAAAAGGATGGGAAGATGCTGAGGGAGGCACCACTTAATGACTGCAGGGAATAAGGAGGGCTGCACCTTCCAGAGCAGAACTCTGAAGATGAGACAGTGACTTGGGCCAAGTACAACAGGACCATGGAGGAGGGAGGTGCTGGAAAGCGATAATGGAACACTGTGACAGGGAGCTATGGCTGGGATGTGCAGATGTTCTCAGGGAAGGCATGGGGAGGTGAGAAAGGAGCCCGTGGCAACTGTGACATGAGGAGAAAAGGGGAGATGCAGCTTCATGGGGTGAGGATGCCCTTGAGGATTCAAATACCAGATAAATGGAGCAGCATTAGGGAGTAGGAGCCCAAATCTGACCTCCATGACTCCAAGAAAACATTACAGGGAAAGAGGGCAAGGAAAGAAAGAAGACAGATGGAATCTTGCAGAGCCTGGGTACACCGCTCACTGAGCTGGGTAAAGCTCCCCGGGAGGTCTGAACCTGGGCACTGGGAAGAAGGTGGCCCAAGCTGGGCTACTGGGGAGGGGAACTGGAGGGGCTCAAAGAGGCACCGGGGGCAACCCCAGGAGCCACTGAGGGCAGTTTGTGGGGCACTGGCAGACGCTGAAGGGCATTTAGGGGACAGCTGTTAACGGGCACCTGAGAAACAGTTCATTATGGGGACCCCTGAGGGGCATTTTAGGGTTCACAAGTGCCTGGAAAGCTGCTGGGGGTGTTGTCAGGGAGTCTCTACGGTGGGGGTTGGGGGTCGCCAGCAGGACCCGGAGGGGTGGTTGGGCTGTCACCGAAAACGACGGGATAAATAAACCTTTCTAACACAGACAATATTTGTTACAATTAAAGCTTTTCCAGCCAACAGGGGGAAAGGGGGAAATGGCCGAGTCCCTAAGGGGCGCCTTGGCGGATGTGAGGTGGTCACAGGCAGACCCCTGAGGGGTCGCTGTGAGGGGAGAGGAGTGGGATGTGTGGGGGGATCGCCGGCAGCTCCCTGAGGGACGGGCTCGGTGGCAGGCCCCAGAGGAAAGCTTCGGGGGTCTCTGGCAACTCCCAAAGCGGCGGCCCGAGCTGGCGGAGGCGCGGACCGTGCCGGGCAGGAGGGAGAGGCGGCGGTACCGAGCGTAACGCGGAGGCAGCGCCGGCCGCAGCGCCGCCAGGACCCCGAGGCCCTGCCCGCGGCCCCCTCCCGCCGCACGCACCTTCTGGCGGATCTGCCCGGACGTCGAGACTTTGCGGATGAGCTTCTGCAGGGAGCCGGGCTCCTGCTCCGGCTCGCTGTCCGACGACTCCTCGGGCGCGGCGCCGGCGGCCGGCTCTGGCTGTGTCTGCTCAGCCCCCGCCGCCGCCATGCTGCACGGACCGGCGGCGCGCCCGGCGCCCCCTACCGGCCCCGCGCGCGAGGCGCCCCCCAGCGGCGGCCGCGTCACATGGCGGCGGAGGGACGGGAGGGGCCGGGGCGGGGAAGGGCCCGGCCGCCGTAGCGGGACGGTCACGGCCGCCCTGCCCCTCCGCGGCTCCCTGTGAACCGCCCCACCGCGATCGCCACGGCCCGGCCGTAGCCCCTTGGAGCCTGGACAAAGGTTTTCAGCGCAGCCCTCCCCGCTGAGGCGAGACCGACAGCCGGGACGGCGGTCCCCATTCCTTCCCATTCTTCGTGGCTACTGCAGCACACAATCACAGAGTCATTCGGGTTGGAAAAGACCTCTGACACCATCGAGTCCAACCCATAACCGAACACCACCTTGTCAACCGGACCAAAGCACTGGGTGCCACATTCCGTCATTCCGTGAACACTTCCACGGACGGGCACACCACCACCTCCTTGGGCAGTCCCTCCCAAAGCTCTCCCCGTGTTCCCAGGATTTAATGAAAAGCTGCGAGCACACCCTGGGCCCGGGCTCCAGCTGCCGTGCACCCCCGCTCCGAAGGGCACTTCAGGGGCGCTGAGGCCGGGCCGCTGCCACTGCCGCCCCCGGCCCGGCTCCACTGGCAGCGGCCTGGTCACTGCCTGCCCCTCTCTAACACCCTCAGCTGCGGGCAGGGGAGTGCTGCCGCTGGGACCTCACGGAGACGTGCGAGGGGAAAGCGTCTGTCACCAAACCCGTCCTGTCATGTATTTGCTCCAAGCTGTCTCCAAACACAGCAGGTCCAGAGATGCCATCCTCCCAGAGCGCATCCCTCTCCGGGAGCTGGCGAGCTCTTCACAAACAGAGTCCCACCACATCAAAGCCTCCGAGTCAGGAAACTGGATCTGCTCTCCCCCAGCGGTAAACAGGAGGAGCAGGCCACAGGTCTGACTCGGTAGATCAATATAACACCAGAACCAGAAGAAAGGGAAGATAAAAGGCAAACAGTTCTAGAGACCTATTTTCTGCTGACAGAGTCAGCATCTGCTGGCTGAAGGGCCGGAGAAAAGTCCAGCTTGTCCTGCAGGACAGGGAACTGCAGGAACCAGCAGAAAACCCTCACTGCTCTCTCAGTAAATCACCAGCATGGGCTGAACAAATAGGTTTTCAAAGTGCTTTCCCAAGCCCGGACAAAAGAACAGAGTTAATAACCATTTAACAACCCTTTCCTCCCCACTGCACAGACTGCACTGTGATTTTGTCCCCTTAGCTTACAGAAGTCATCACCACAGCTGAATTTGAGAGGAAAGTCAGGCAGCAACAGAGGCCCCAAACAAAGCTGACATATAAGAAATTTTTTTTAAAGGAAAAGAAAAAAAAAATTAATCAGATCTGACTTTACTGGTCCCATACTTACAGGTGTAGTAGCCAGAAACACTGAAGGAAACACTTCTGTGGAGAAAGATACACTTTGAAGACCTGTTTCCCCTCCTTCTCTTAGATCTTTAAAGGATTTTCTGAACTCCTGCTCTCCACGACCAGCATATTCACAACCAGTAATTTCTTTAACCTTACTGTATCTTTTGTGTATTCTCCAGCCACCAACATGTTAGTAGTAAAAATACCAGGGAAAAGCCTTCCCAGACATCCAGGTGCAAATGCTTGACCCTCCCACAAAGCTGAAATCACACAGAAATTATCCTGATCACAAACACCTGGAACTGGCCGAGTTCCTTTAGCAGGAAAGCACCCAGTGCAGAGCAAACATTGTGCCTCTTGCAATTCAAGCTAAGGTGAGACACCTGTGACTAATGGACAGCACTGAGGAACAGGTGTATTAGGGCAGAGCACTGATGGAACTCTGAAGTCAGCTGTGGTCTTAACTGCTTCCAGCATCTTAATCAAGACCAGTTTACAAAAGCAAACTGATCTAAGTGTGAAGCTCTTAATTCTATTTTCCAGAGTGTAGGGTGGGAAATGTAAGTCTATATTCATAAATGTGGGCCCTGCATTCAGACTTTCCAGGGAAATTTAAACCAGGGACACTGAAAAGCAGATTTAAAGCAAAAATTAGAAAAATAAAACACCAGTTGTTTTACATGCAAGGTGTAATTAGCTGATGCAACTTACTTCAGCAAAAACTTACATGAGATTCAGGAAAATATCTGACATTTACATGGATAATGAGAATATCCAGATCAACAAGAGAAAACAAAGTTTGCAGAATGCAATCTCATTTCTTAGAGCATAAACCAACTGCTGGCAGATGGATGTTGGGAGAGGCTCCTCAGGGAAGGCTGCGCCATCATTTCCTCCTTAATTTTCCTGCACCCTCTTTTGAAGCAATTGCCTACAGGAAACTAGATTAAATACAGACTCTGTCTGGACGTGTATTTCTGTTTGGCATTGCATATAGGGAGCTTTAAGCAATAGGGAGCTTTAAGCAATTCATTGACAGTGCAAATTTATCTCATCTTTAATAACGTGGTTATTAAGCATATTGCTAGAAAGCTAATACTGTGTATCAGCATTGTCTACGCTGTGGGAGACAACTTGTGAGACATTTACTGGTACAGAAAGTGAATGAAAAAGCCACGTGGGGACAGTGCAAGCACTGAAAAAATTCACTGGCTGAATTTGGTAAAGCATCAACGCAAAAGCAACCAAAAGGAAATAAAATCACTTTTGTACAGTCTGCTGAGAAACTTTGATGAATCACACATGGCTGCAAGCCAGCCTTCCAGGCTAGGATTTCATTCACTGGCACTTCAAAGTCACAGACTCTGACACTGAATAAGTCCAGGCAGGCTGCATAAACCCTCATTTAAGCTCTCACCAGTGCTGAAAGCAAACAACCTTTTTATTAGGCAGCCCTGAAAGCAGAAGTCAAGATATGGCAGATGTCATCCTCTGGTAGCTCGAGTAAGAACCAGGTGTTGTGTTTGCCCCATTCAAGGTGAATCTTGCAATAAGCAGTAAAGGTTCCTGATGTCATGCCCACTGACCTCAGGGCTGACCCCTGGAAGACCATGTATGAACTGAGAACATGCAGATTACTAGAAACTTAGGTCCTACATTTGTAATTGAAGCCAGACAACATAGCTCCTTTGTCAGCCCGTTCTTTTAATCACTCATCGGTTGAGGGTGAATTCTTGTCCTCTTCATCAGGTGTATTTTTTAGCTTCTGACGAGCAAACTCCTCAAACACCAGCTCTGCTTCACTGCAATGAAAGAAACAGAGGTCTTTCAAAATAATGTTACCCTATTTTTACACCAGTAGACTGTAGGCAACACATAGGATGAAGAAGAGAAGCCCACAATAGACTGGCAGTGTTTCCTTTGTCTCCAAAGTGATTTGGATCACATTCCCACAGACACCATCTTCACTGCTGCTATTCTAACTAAAATGAAAAGCAGTTGATTAAGCAAGTCAAGGCACAAATTGAGCATGTTTTTCATCTGTACTGAATCATGTCCATTCCATATACATATTTATCAGCTAGCTGAACATCCTAGAGCTTGCAAGGGGCTTTGTCCAGGAATAAAATGTGAAACATTTCACCCTTATTCCTTCTATACTGAAATAGAGGGACATGTCAAACCTAATAAGTTCCTTACACTTCCAGCTATAGAGCACAAACACATCCCTGTTAAGCAAAACACAATCTCTTAATCTATCTTCACATGGTCAGTCACTGCTGTTTAACTCAGAGCTGTCGTTTGTCCGGCCACAGAAACTTGCTCACTTTGGATTTTAAGCTGGGGACTTGCACAGTTTTGAAGAGTTTTAGAAAGAGTCAATGCACAAGTGTAGCTAGAATGTGAAATACTAAAAGAAACTTACCCATCCTTCCCTGCAGTCACGAGAATGCAGCAAAGGAGGAAAAGAGACACACGGATAGTCAGAACAGCAGATGGCTAAAACACTTGCAAAATGTTTAATGCAAAAAATGTATGGATTGACAAGTCAGAGCAGTGACAAGAAGCAGGATTTGCAGCAGTACAAGCAGAATTCCAGAAAGTCTCAAAATGTGCATAACTACACCTGATGAGGCAAATCTCAATCTCCCAAATGGAAAAGCATTCCAGCAATGATGCCCAAGCTATCTGAAGGGCTGAGGAACAAAGACAGATTTTCCCATCTACGCTTGCTCATGGTCCCACATGATGTGGGAGACATCTGTGCACACACCTGGACTCTGAGCTGACAGTGCTTGCATGACAGGATGTCAGCTTGAATTGCTCTATCACTGTGACTGAAGAAGTCAGCTTAGACTTAGATAAGAAGACAATGCTTTTGTTCAATAAACATGAAGTTATTAAAATTAGAGGTCAAAGTACAGAAACACCTCAGGGATCTCTCATCAGACGGGTTAAGGCTTTTGGGGCAACACTCCTGATTTCATCTTGCCCTAAAAATGTTTTCAAGACTTTTGACATTTGCGTTTCTTTAGTGGGAACTTTCCTAACCACACTATAACAAATCCTACTTACTAGCAGGATTCCTTGAAAGTTGTTTCAGCACAACATAAAATAAGCAGAAGACTGTATTTGCAGGGACTTTATTGTTCTTACAGTTATTTTAGGAAGGCATAGTCACTTAACTGGCTTACTTCTCATGGCTTTGGGTCAGGGAGCAAAGCACCCTTGTTCTACAGAAGCAATAATCTGGGGCACTTCAGTGACTGGATAACTCACTACCTGGAGATTTCCCATCCACAACACACATTGCAATCAAGGGCAACACACACTGCTGGAAAAGTCAGCATCAAAAGTGTGCCAAAGAGGGCCACTCCCAGCCAAAATGCCTCAAAGGATGGCTCATGTAAAGACACTCCTGATGGAATCTCTCCAGACCAGGACAGAAGCCAAGATGAAGTCTGAAAAGTCTCAGGGCATGTATGCTTGATTGACATGGATTTTAAATGAAACATTTAGAACTTCTAAAATTTCCAACATATAAAGCATCATTCTCATTCCATTTTTCTCCTTTAGTCTGCTCTTTCCCCTCTTG